CAGTAGGGCGAGTATTTAAAAAAAAAAGATAAATTGATTGTTTATATAAAAATATAATTTCTTTGTGGAAACAATCTATTTATGAAAGTGTTCTCTCTATGAAGACGGTCCATATACAAAGACGGTCCGTATACGAAGGCGGTCCATATACAGAGGCGATATGTATATGGAGGCGGTCTGTATATGGAGGCGGTCTGTACGTTACTGGTCTCATCCGCAAATGTCAGCAACCGAATGGGGGATGGAAACAACAAAACAATACAATAAAGCCTCTTACTACAGATAAAGCAATAGCCCCGGAGTTTATTCCTAAACTCGTATTTGTAACCGCAAAATAGATTGCTTATGCAGCTGCAGAAAAGTAACCACGAACCACTCCAGCTTATGTGGCCGATGCCAAGGAAATTCCTGCAGCAACGTTTATAAAGAGGAAGATTTTTCAAAAGATAAGTTTTAGGTAATGAATGTATTAACATATCAACCTGCTGCTTTAAGGTTATTTTGTTTATGTATTTTTTATTTATTTATTTATTTATCATTTGACAATATAATACTAAATTCTTCTTGTTTTTGCTGAATCCTGGTATTTTTCCAACCCCTTTGTTATAACGTGCTAAACTGAATTTATTTTATTACGTAATGTTGATTTACACTGCTTAAATTTGATTGATTATAAGTCTATATAATGATTTTCTAAATCAAATTTGTATTATTTTATCTATTTCAACCCTCTGTAGGACGGCAATGGCTGATCTGAATAGCAACCAACTTCTTATACACCCTTGTAAGTTTTTCTATAAAAATGGAAAATAATGGCGATATTCGTCAAAGAGTGAAAAAATGTGCCTTTGGAGTGGTTTGTGGGAACTTTGCCATCCTCGTAGTGGTGAGGACTTTTAGTATGTTAAACAGTATCCCAAGAACTACTACTCCTCCAATTTCCAGCTTTAAGGCAATTTGTTCCGGGCCAACCTTAAAAGTCCCGGAGTACCCTTTCGATTTTTTCTTTAAATATTTTACATACAAAATGTTAAAATGTAGTACGTAAATTTTGAATTGAGTAACACAATTAAATGATTTCTATTTAAAATTTTGGGATTGATATCACTTGCTATAAAACCGGAAGTGTGTCATCATCTTGTATCACCCGGCTACATTAATAACAATCAATATATATTGTTATTTGGAGAGAAAAACAAATCGTAAAAAGGTTTTTGGAATATTTTGAACAAATATATAGCCGCCTTTTTTTCAAAATCATTTTCTATTTATTTTTATTTTAAGGTTTGCTGTATCGGAAACGCAACGACTTTTTGAAATTGAAAATATACATACAGGCCCGACCGGTGCGAATGACATAAACCTCGATACACCCCTGGATGAACGCCCAGGTACCCGAATCCGTATTTTAATTAGCACGCTGTCGCGGAGAAAATGCAAAGACAAAAGCCTGTCACTTCCACACGTACGGACGTCATTTAAAAATATGGCGGCGCGTTTGAAGCGGTCGATTTAATTTATCGCTTCTCGCCGAGCGATTTCGGTTGTTGTCCAGTTAAATTTAAATCCCGAATCGAGGGGGTCTTCGAAATTCTCCTCACGGTTTCTCCTCTGATGACTGAAGCATCATCGGGTCATCCGTTGGTGGCTTTTATCGTTATCGTTCGAATTTATGCGGTCAAAATATTCTAAAATTCTTAGTCGCTTATAGAAAAATATTGACGAACTTCGACAATTTTTTTAAGTTAAGCGAAAAATATTTTATAAGAACCAAGTGAGACACGAAAAAATATCTAAAATTTGCCTCAAACCTGAGATTAAAACATTAAAAGGGCAATGAAGATTTAATAATTAAGAAAATGGCATGTTCTTCCTACACTTGTGTGGTATATTATGTAACAAGTATTATAAACTACATTTTAGTCACGAGTTTCTTTTGTACATACTATAATTTTCCTATCACTATCACATTTTGGCAAACAGACTGATACAATGAATGTAGAATTCATGTAGAACCATAATAACTGACATGCTTCAATATATTATCTCGTGACAGAATTTAATGAAGCTGACTTTTTGAAGTGACTTTATACTAGGGAGTAGAAAAATAGTGTTTAATATTATCGTAATTACGTGCGTATCATTAATCATTAAAACCTATATTAATTACAGAAGTTGATGCAATTGTCTTAATATTCCAGATTTCGTTTTACTTTTTCGAATGATCTCATGAAATTTGGTATATTATTCCATTTGTTAAGAAAAGGATCTACTGTTATTATATTTCTACTTATTTTCAATTTTTCCGCGTGCTATGGACACTATGTCGATATACCAATATTACGTAGGTAGGACTTCTTTTTAAATATGCAAGTATTCCAAAACATAAAATATTTATTTATTACTAAAGTCTCTTTGTGTGTAGCAGCATTTTAGTAACAAAATATCTAACAATGAAAATTGTTTGATTTCTTTTTCTTTTTTTGTTGAATATCCACTGAAATTATCTCTTTCTTTACTTGTACATTGACTATTTTCATTTTTGACTAGGACATCCATTACAAAAACCATCATCAAGAATTCGCAAGGTTATGTTCTGACCACATCTTCTTAATAATGTAAATTATATTGAGGTTATGTTAACCACAGTACATCGTCGACCATAGCAACGTGAGAGATAACCAATTAATTCGACCAATAAGAATCAAAACCGGACGGGTATTATACTTTTACGTTTGGGCAGTCATTATAAAGTAATAGGTTCGCCTCATTAAAATATTAATATAATTCACGTCGGGGTATTGCAGGGAAAAATCGCCGCAGTTGTTAAATGAAGGCAGCCGCAACGGCATGGGGCCCCCTCTCGGGCACTGTACGACTGCCCATTCTTTGTTCTTGCAACGTACACAAACATATACTCGCATAAATCGAAACCATCTTCCTCTTCTTCGTTGTTGTTGTTGTGGTCGTCGTTTTTTTTTTTTCACTTCTTCTCCGTTCTCCCCGACCAGTACCATTATATATTAAATTTATCGTCTCTTATTAATTTGTTCTTAGTGCTATCTAAATTATTTCGGTACAAATATATGGGCAACCTTTCCGCCGTATTTTTCATTTAAATTGCGAGGCACCGGTATTTTAAGAATAAAAATATACGAGGCGGGGACCGTTGAAAACCGTCCACCCCGTATTTTGTTCAGAATTTAATTTTAATTTTTAACCAGTGGTGGCAACGTTACAACAAATAAATTTTAATTTTGCAAAAATTATTACGTTATCAAAGTTTCATTAATTATAAGCAGTATTTTGCGTTTTGTGTAACCTCCATGTAGCTTCAGAATGTAAAGAGGGGATGTGCATGGGCTAGCCAATTCTCGTATTTAAGAAATTGGCTGCGTAAATAAAATATTAAAACGTTGGTTCGGTTAATAAACAATAATTATTTTTCTTATTTCATTTAAGGAACCTAAAATCAACTCATTAATTAAAAATTGAAGCCAATGCACAAATCTAGTATAAAGTCAAATCACGCGGGAGATGGCTGAACCTTTTTTATGGAGATATTTTTTGGGTCAAAATTATAGTTTTTAACCATTTGCCTCATAAAAAGGTGTCTGTGGACTGAATTTCAGTTAGATATCTTAAATCGTTTCATAAATGAAGAGTCTTATCGTTTTCGAACAAAATATTTAAGCAAGAATTCCGTAAAGGAATGTTTTGAAAAATGCTAGCACCCACGCCACTGGCGCAAGCGGACCGATAGCAACAATTTAAATTCCGTACAATTTCACTAACTCCGTTTTAATTACGGAACCACAATGGCCAATGAAATTGAAACATTTTCTTCACAATGTCAGCTCGCGAGACCGATGGAGGTGTCCGTATACACTCACTTAAAGGTAAAAGTCATCGAATTCTATTGTGACACCACCTGGTAGTTGGTACAATCAACCCGTTCCTTTGCGGTCGACATTTTAATACGTCGAAAGCGTACGGGGTATTTAAAAATTTCAACTGTTTTCGTGACGACAACCGAAACAACGTGCCTTTTCTTTTCATTTTGATTGCAAATATTTTTTATAAATTTAAATACGACAGTATCAGTCAGGATTTTAATTTTAATAAAGTGTACAATATTTCTATGTATACGGATAAAGAAAAGGTAGTTTTTGAACCCAAATATAAAACACTTTATGTTGTTGATGACTCAAAAAACTTTTAAACAGTTTATTGGAAAAATTGGGTTTGAAAAACAAAATAAAAATCGTAATCATACAAAAATCCAAATAACTTAATATTTGAATATTTAAAATTGAAAAATTAATGATAGTTCACTTAGCTTCATGCGCAAATATTGTGTGCACAAAAATTAAACTGGAGCAATATTTCGACTTCCATATTTTTAAAGAAAATTTTATTTTTACTAGATTCGTATATACATTTTGTTAAATATTATAGTATTATATAGTATATATAGATTTTTGAAATGCATAGCTTCTTTTAGTTTTTTTATTTATACATATTTTGCTAACATCACTGTGTTTATATTTTTTAAAATTTGTGATTTTAGGGATAAACTATAACAAAATCAACGTTGTTTGATATAAAATTTCTCCCATTCATAATTAACTTTCTGGGGTCAAATAAACTTTGTTTATATCCTGAATAAATATTAACCAAATTTATTAAAGTTTACCTTACTTTAGCATCTAGCGCTTTAACGTTTTTAAACAATTCGTAATGTTAAATAATAATGGCACCTAATAGAAAATAGAATATTTTAGGACATTATCGATTCGTTATATAAGAATCATTCAAAATCAGGAAGATCCTTTTAAATTATAATTACTAAATCTTACAGCAAGTTGCTCTAAAATATTTTTAAAATTTTCCTTTTAAGGCCCAGAGCCAATAGTTTTTGACGTTTTCCGTTACATGTTCGAACATGAACGCTCCCCATGTGAATCGACTTTGTAGAAATCGAAAATGAAAAGCTATACCTTTATCTTTGACGTTTTCGGCTTGCCGGGCGCATTGCTGACTATAGCGTAGACCTCGACGTCGTACACGTCGACTCCTGCCTCGCGATCGAGCTGCGTGGCTGTCGACAACACGCCGAGTTTCGTATCTATATCGAACAATCTGTCAACCTGTACGCCGCCACCTGTCACGTTCGTTACGTAATACTCGACGTCTTCGCCGTGACGTCGCTGCCTCGCCGACACCGACAGTATGCTTGTGCCGGCCGGTTCGTTTTCGAAAACACTACCGAAAAACTCGTCACGTTCGAATTTCGGACCATCGTTACCGTTATCATCCACCGCTATTATCGTCAGATAAGCCTCGGTCGATTTCCTCTCACTCTGTACCGCCTCGTCCGTAGCTTTAACAGACAACTTGTAAGTTGGTTCTAGACGTTGCGGGTGCCTGCGTAGCTTTAACACTCCGCCGCTTTGATCCAGCGCGAACAACTCGCTCGGATCGCTCACCAATTCATAAGTAACTAAACCGTTGGTGGCCGAATCCAAATCTCTTGCGAACACGGTCATCACGGTGGATCCTGATGATGGTAGTATCGCCGCATTCATCGACACAAACACTGGGGCGTTATCGTTAACGTCTTCCACTATGACGGTCACCAATTTCTCCGCGGAAAGTCTAGCGGATTCGGGTTCGGCCCTATCGGTGGCCACCACCGTCAGCCTGAAGGTATCTACAGTTTCCCGATCTATGGGAAGCAGCGTATGGATCACTCCGGTAGTAGGGTTGATCCCGAAATGTCTGCGACCATTGTCTGGGTCTTGGTTCGATATAGCGTACGTCACTTTGCCGTTAAGTCCCGAATCTGGATCGTCAGCTGTCACTGTCACTATAGGTGTGCGCACAGGCATACCTTCGGGGAACTGCCTCACTATTGCCGTACTAAGGAACGATGGTGGGTTATCGTTGGCATCCTCGACGGTGATGGCGAACAAAATGGTCGTCGACAGTCTCGGGTTGCCGTTATCCGAAGCGGTGATGTTCAGTTGATAAGCGCTGAGCTCTTCGTAGTCCAAAGGTTTATGCAGGTATAAGATACCGCTTATGGAATCCATGTGAAATGTGTCTTTCCTGTTACCCGCGGTAATAGAGTACACGACTTCGTTGTTGACCCCCAGATCAGCGTCGGAAGCACGGAAGTGCATAACCTCGGTGTTCACGGGGGTAATTTCGCTTATGGAGATCTGCACTTCCGATTGGGTGAACTCAGGAGCGTTATCATTCTCGTCCAACACGTCGACCACCACAGTGGTAGTCGCGGTCAGCTGCTTCGATAAACCGGCATCTCTTGCTTGGATTGTTAATGTGTACTTGGGAGTGGTTTCTCTGTCCAGAGGACGAGCAAGGATGATTTGTCCGGTGGCATCTTCAATCTCGAAACGTCTGTCTTCGTTACCGCTCAAAATCGAGTAATATACATCCCCGTTGAGACTTTCGTCAGCGTCGCTGGTATACAACCTTAACACTTGACTCCCTGCCAGCGACAATTCCGGGATTTGAACTTTGTAAGGCACCCGGAGAAATTTGGGTGGGTTGTCATTCACGTCGGTGACATATATATTCACTTTGACCTTATCGCGGAGTTTTTGGATACCGTTGTCCGATACGATAGCTTCGAGGGTGACGAAATTCTGTCCGGTAGTCTGCACCAGCTGTTCCCGATCGAACACTCGGGCGGTTTTTATGAACCCGTTTTTCGGATCGATCGAAAAATCGTTTTGTAAGTGAGACAAGGAAAAAATCAACTCGGCGTTGCGGCCGATGTCTTTGTCCGTAGCGGTTAGTTTGCCGACGAAAGTGTCCGGTGGCTCGTTCTCCCTCACCCGAAATGTGAACGTAGTGTTGGTGAACTCGGGCGCGTTATCATTTTCGTCGATCACGTGGATCACCACCGGCACCGACGACGACCTGAAAAATTTGAAAAAATTATTATTTGCTGGCTAATAACGTTATTTTTAATAAGACACCCTGTTTATATTTGTTTTACACCAAATTGATAGAAAAATCGCAATTTTCTTCGAATATCTCTCAAAGTTTTTCGCAAACAAATAATAGGAACTTGGTTTTAAGACCCAGTGTTTCAAAAGCTAGACTCTGTACATGTATGAAAATTTGCAGGCACATTTAAGAAACAACCTCGGAAACAACTTATTCAGTGGTCAAGGAAGTGAAAAATCAAACAAGGTAAAAATTTTTCTTGAAACTTTTATCCAAAATTCAGTTTTTTTTTAATTTCAAACATTTCGGACATCAATTTTTCCTTCCCTTTAAAGCGGTGGGAGAAAAATATTGAAAAAAATTACCTAACAAATAACCCACTAATTTTTAAACGCTGCGTATTTATAATTGAATTGAATTTTTGTGTCAATTTTAACTCTTTAAAGCCTTATCTTTTGAGACACAGATTTTTAGCTTAGCTTTTTAAAGCTTTTTTAATTTTAATAGATTTGAGATTGCTGTATTCGAATAAAGGTGTATTGTGGTATGACATGAAAATAGAGTTATGTATGAGTCTTAGAAATTACATTGGTTAAAAATGAAAAAATATTTTCAAGCACAACTTTCTATGCTTTTTGAAATGTGTAATAAACTCCAGCATTCCTGAATTTTTGGACGACAAATTAGTATTTAGGAAATCAATTTATGACATGAATCTGAGACACCGAGCCACGCTCACTATGCCGTTACATAGAACTGCAAAAGTTCGATGCTCTTTTCTTGGTCCATGCAAAGCTTTAAGCTTTTATTTAAAAATACATTTAGTTCTTCCTGGCGAAATAACTAAATTGTAAAAATAAAGTGTAAATTTATATGTTCTAATAAGGTTCTTTATTATACTTACTTTTACTTAAAATGTGTAGATTGTATTTGGATATGGGTAAATTGTGAGTGGCCTTAAGACCTGACTATTTCGAAAGATATAATAAAAATAAAGCAAAAATCAGATTCAAAACTAACTAAAACTGAGCTAACTTGGCCAATTCAAATTAAGAAATAAAAAAACAAGGAGATCTGCACAAGCCATGGAAAAAAAATCTATTTAGTTGCAATACAATAAAAAAATGTGTCGAACCAAGCTTAAGAAATACAATAATTCTAAAGAGAGACCAGCGAAAGCTCTCACGAATGGTCAACAGAGCCCAAAGATATCGATCTGACTTAGCTCTTTACAAAGTATAAGACCAATAGTTTGAGTGGCGAGGTATTGCAGAATTGATAATTTTGTGGATAAGTTAGAGGTACCTCTGCTTTATATCACAGTAAAGGATGACAAGATGACTACATCACAAAAAATAATTTATTTTTTTACCAGACTACATTTCAAAAATTTAGGACCATGGCCAAAAGTCAAGTATTTATTTATAATCATACATTTATTCGTTCCAATGAACCGCTAAAAATTGCAAGAACACCTACCTCGTAGGTGTGCCCAGGTCGCTCGCGGTCACCGTTAACGAGTAGTAATCCTTATCCTCCCTATCCAGAGGTTCCTTGACGTAGAGAAACCCATCCGGAAACACCCCGAACTTATCCTCCCCATTTCCTTCAGTAATAGCGTACGATATCCTCCCGTTCAGCTCGAAATCGGCATCGCTAGCAGCCAAAGCAAAAAATCTCTCGTTCACGGGAGTCGACTCAAGCAATGACGTTTCGTATGACGTATGATCGAACACCGGAGTGTGATCGTTAACGTCCTCCACTACGACATCCACCGAGTGTTTCGAGGAGAGCGGGGACTCTCCCGCATCAGTCGCCGTAACCTCCACCCGTAATACCGAATTAGGTTCCGCTCTTATCGGCTTGTTTAGATAAATCACTCCCGTCGCTTCCGATATGCGGAACTGCTCGTCAGGATTATGACTCAACGCGTACGTGAGCCTGCTGTTAATGCCTGCATCCAAATCTCTAGCTCTGGCCAGATAAACTTCCTGACCTACCGCGGCATTTTCAAAGAGTTTGATTTCCCTGTCACCATTTAAAAAAATCGGCCTGTTATCGTTCAAGTCTTGCACCTCGACGCTAACGTTGGTCGTACCGTACGATAGTCGAACACGTGCCGCCACTGTCAGCTTGTACGTAACAGTTTGCTCGCGGTCTATCGGCTTCATCGTGCCGATACGGCCCGTTCTCTCGTTTATGTAAAAATTTTTGTTCGGGTCGCCGTAGACGATCGTGTACGCGGCCTCGCTGTTCCTCACGGCCACGATCCCGACGTCTCGGCTTTTAAACGCCTCCCCGTCGACGTCTTCCAACAACTGAAACTCGTAGCCGCCGTAATTGTCGAAATGCAGCTCCTCCATGTACGACTCTTTGATTATCTCGACCACCGCGTCTTCCGGAGTGCGTCTATCGCCGTGGTCCTTAGCAGACACATGGAGTTTGTAGATAGGCTTAGTGGACGTCTTCAATGTGCCCCGCAGGCTGACGGACCCGGTCCACTCGTCTATGGAAAACAACCCATCCGATTCGTTTTCCAACTTGTAAGTCACCATAGCGTTCTCGCCTTCATCGCGATCTCTAGCAGTCACCTTAAGCACAGTTGTACCGGGTTTGACGTCATCCGGTACCGCTACGAAGTACTTCTGGGGGTAGAATTCGGGGTTGTTGTCGTTTACGTCGGATACGGTGAGGTACACGGTGGCGGTAGAAGATTGAGGCGGAAGGCCTTGATCTTTGGCGGTTACCTGTATTACGTAATCGGCGATAGTTTCCCTGTCCAGTTTTTTCTTAATTGTCAGCTGACCGGTGAGGGCGTCCAAAATGAAAGTGTCATCGTACCTTTGCCGTACTGCGGGATGCAAAGTGTACGTCACGCTACCGTTCGCGCCTTGATCATGGTCGGACGCCGTCAACATGGCGACGAGAGTACCCGGCGGGGTACTCTCCGACAAACTGACGTTTATCTTCGTCTGAGAGAACTCTGGCGCTTCGTCGTTCTCGTCTAAAATCGTAACTTTTAACTGAGTGTACGCCCATTTCGGATTAGGTCCGCCGTCCCTCGCGGATATGTTTAGTTCCACCGTACCACGCACTTCCCTATCGAGATGAGCTTGCGTCGTGATTAATCCCGAGTCGGGGTTCATCAGGAACCAGGCGTTTTCGTTGCCCGATACGAAAGAGTAGTATATTTGAGCATTTACTCCGGTATCTTCGTCGGTAGCCGTAATACCAGCTACGTAAGTACCGGGAGGAGCGAGTTCGCTGAGTACAGCCGAGTACTCGCTCTTCTCAAACACCGGCTCGTGGTCGTTGACGTCGTTCACGTGTATTATTAAAAAAGCAGTTGCCGTACGTGGAGGAGAACCTCTATCCGTCGCCACTATCGTCAAGTTGTATTTGGAGATCTCCTCTCGATCGAGCACCCCGTTGACCCTCACTATATCAAAGCTAGGAGTGTAATCTAACCGGAAATTGTTCAGCTCGTTACCGGAAACGATTTTCACAGTAGTGTCCCCGTTTAAACCCTCGTCCTCGTCTACTACAGAGACTGCGGCCACCACTGATCCATTACCAGCGTTCTCGTCCACGGTGGCAAAACCTGCGGTCGCTGGGAAGTACCGGAACTTGATTATGGGATCGTGATCGTTCGCGTCCACTAAATTCACAGTCACGTAAGTCCGGCCGTCTTGGCGTGGAGAGCCGTGATCCCTGGCGTACACAGTGAACACGCAACTCTTGGGGCAGCTCGATTTCGAGTTGCTTTGGGGACAGTTCTGCTGCTGGGGACAGTTTAACAGTTCGGAAGTGAAAATTAAGCCGGTTTCAGGATCCACGGCGAATTGGCGCTCTTTGTCCGCCAAATAGTATGTGATTTTGGCGTTGTCTCCCAAATCGTTGTCGGTAGCCATCACTTGCAACACGGTAGTGCCCGGTGTCACGCTCTCGTTCAAAGAAACTATGTAGTCGCTGTGGTCGAAAATCGGTGGGTTGTCGTTTACGTCCAGAATGGTAACGTTCACCTGCAGGTACCCGTAATTAGGGATTTCGCCTCCGTCTCTCGCAGATATGTTCAGGGTGTAGTACCCCTGTGTTTCTCTGTCTAGTTTACCCGTGGTCTCAAGGTGTAAGTACGAAGAATCGCCGATAGGGTTGGAGGTGACGATAAGCCGGAACTTATTCCCGTCGTTACCGGCTATGATCCTGTAGTCGTCGCTCACGCCGTTGACACCAGAGTCTTTGTCGGTGGCAGCGTCCAACAGCAACCTGGTACCCGCCACCGCGCTTTCGGAAAACGATACCGCTATACTAGGTTCGGGAAATTCTGGCGGATTGTCATTGACGTCGACCACGACGATACGCACCTCGATGGGGTAAGTGGGCTGACTAGAAAGCACTACCAGGTCGTACCGGTCATTTTTCAAAGCCTCGCGGTCTAGCACCGTCGCGGTTTTCACTTCCCCAGTGTTCCCGTCCAAAGAAAACTCTTTCGGAGGTTCATTGAACCGGTAGACGAACCCCGGCTTGGTTGGTATGCGACCTACCAAGCTGCCCTTCGGCCTACCTTCCGATATGTCAAAGGTGACTCGGGTGTCGACGGCACGAGACTGCATCTGTACCGAATAATCATACGGCGATTCGGTGGTGACGTTCCCTTGTCCACCACCGACCAGCAGTACCGCGTTGACGATCAGAACCCGCAGAAAAATAGCCCGCATCATGACTTGGTCGTACCTAGCGCGACATGGCCGAAATTCAAGTACACGTGTTGTTCGTTCCGTGCTCTAACATTCCTCGGCTTGTCCCCGCTCGTCTCTCCGTACGAGAGACTCGTTCAGCCTCTGGAGAGTACCGTACCGTCTCCGTCAGTCGCGAGGCTGTAGGCCGCGTACCGTCTCGCTCGTTCTGGTATGCAATATGGCCGGCGAAGAGTGGTCGGAGGAAAATAAACCCGCCGCGTTGATTTTTTCGGGGTAGTACCGGGACGTACGCGTCGCGACGCTATACTGCGTTCCAGGTCGAGACACGGTAGCGCGATTGTTTTCAGATTCACGTTCGTCGCGGGCACCTCACTCACACACACTTTCGCACCGTCTGTGTTTTTCTTTGCTGCGCCGGAGAGAGGGAGAAAGAGAGACAGAGTACCGTATCGGTCCGCGCGCGGATCTCGACTGCTCCGGCAGTACCGATCGATCTCGCGTTTACCTGGGAGGAGTTCTTGGCCGCATCCAATGGTAACCTGTCGACGTTGCCGGCTCACCTGCGCCTCAATCACACGGCCTAAACATAAACAATATTTATGACTATGTCAGTCGGACCGGGTTTAGATCGTAAATCTATCTGCGGATAATGTTTTTTTTCTGCGCGTCGCCGTCGTTGTCGTCGTCTTTTTGCGACGCGGACGCACCGACACACAGTGGCAATAACCCCAAATTTAAGCCACGAACAACATTTTTTACAATACTTCAATCAAAGCGAATGCTTTTTAACATGACGATGACTACTAGTTTTTATTCATCCAGTTGATACAATTCTAAGCGTAGATTTTTGCATGTTCTAAATTTTTTTTTTATGTTCCGCAAATATACCTTTTTAGTGATACACATTTTTGTAATGTTTTAGTTATTGGAAATAATCTAAAAATTTGCGCTACGAGTTTTAAACAAATTTTTGAAAATGCCTGTGCCCTAACTCATTGAATTCTGCAATTAATAATATTATAAATAAATAATAATAATTAATAACTTAAATACACCAAGTCATGGAAGATTCATACTTTATTTTATATAAGACTTAATTCTAATTTTCCCTGCATTATGGTGAAATAATACCAATTAAAATTTTTCATTTTGCATTACAATTTTATCTCCTTTTTATGTAAAGTCTAACGCACAAAAATATGCCTGGCCATTTTGAACTAGAAACACATTTTTATTATTTATCATTTCTCGGTTTAGGATCCTGTGTAAAAAAACTATACAAATTAATAAACTTCTGCAACCACTTTAGTGACTTAAACCTCACTACAGCAATTTGCTATTTTAAAGGTATCCTCGCGGGATAACTCTTGCTCTTCCGCAAAAAGCCGATCGAAAGTGATAATTATTAACCAATTATTACGGCAACTATAATTAGACCAGTAATTGCATTCTTATTCACGCCTAGTTTTATAGTAAACGTCAGTAATATGTCAATAAATCATAAATAGAACACTATTTTGATTTTATCTGTCGTTACAACTTAACCAATTTAGCTGCAAATTTTATGAGAACTGTTCAATAAATTAGAGTTTTTGTTGTCTTTGGTATAGCAAATTTGCTGACTGATTTCATTTATGTACAAATTAGTTAAATAAAATTATTTTTACATTCCTCGAAAATTACGTTTTGGAACTTAAAAGTTCCGACAGCCTTATTTCAGAAGATGTTATTGTCAATACAGTGCAACCTCGTTGATCTGAATCAGAATGGCCTGAAAACCGGTATTCTTCACACGTGTGTGTGTGTTTGTGTGTGATTGGAAGCTTGCGATGGTGGGGCATGAAATTTTATGGGCGGTATGCTTTTGCTATTTAGTTGCATTAAAAAATGTTCTTCTTTTGACAATTTACAGTCATCATAATGACATCTTTTAGTTCTCTTTCGGATTTCCCTTAGTTCAAAAAAAAAAAATAAAGCATTTTTTGCGACGCCGCGGACGACCTATATCGCGAACACCGTTTCTTCGTTTTGACAATCGATATACCGGGGCATCATTAATTGCGTGCCAGGAACCCCCGGCCAAAGACACGCCTGTCAATCCGCATTAGGAATCTTCGTTTAACCGAAAACGTTATTATTCGCCATCGCGTTTTTGGGGCCCAGGTGTCGAACGCTTATTTTTGTTCTTTGGCTGTCGGATCTCTCCCGTCAAGTGAATTACCTGTCCGGTTGAAGAGGGTACAAAACGATTACGTACAATAACCGAGAGCTCCCGCCAGGTAGGTCAGAAATTTTTTCTCTGATTGGAATTTTTATCGAGGACTGGAACCCGACGTGGGTCCCGACCCGGGCGGGCGGGGGGTTTTGTTGGGATTTTCTGGAACGCAATATATTAACCTCGGTATAGTCTGGTTCGAATTATACTGTTGAAATTTCGGCGATAACACATTAATCATCACTCTGTTCAAGTGAATTAAGGTTATCACCATTTCGGACAGAAATGGTGATACGGGATGTTGCAGCTTCAATAAATCTTCTTCTTGTTACTTTCGAAATATTCGATTTTTCGAAAGTATCAACGCTCGTATAAACAGTAACGGTAGGTCCTATGGGATCCTCATTGGTACCGAAAAGTTCTCCGTTCTCGTCTTTTCGTTTTTCCTGAATAACTTTTGAACCGTGGGAACTACAAAATTAAAATTTGCCTCCTTTTTAAACACCATGTACATGTTTACTCAATTTGCTCTGCCCCGTGACAGAACCTATTGAAAATGGGGGGCTGGGAGGTCGGGAAGTATGCTAAAAATATAAAAAATCGCGTGTGCAGGGGTCTACAACAAACATCATTTTTCAAAACCGTTTACAAAACCAAAAAAATTCTTGAACCAGAAGACGCAGAATGTACGGCTCCATAAACTTTTATTCTTGATAAATTTTAAGAAATATACATGGTGCGCCCCAAATTCAAAGAAACTGAAAAATGAATTGAAAATTGTTTATAACTGAAAGACTATGATTCAGATGTCTTTTACATTGCGATATAGCCCGCACAGACAGCTAAAACTTTTGTATTTAGGGTCTTCATCTATTGTACAGGGTGTTCCCTATATTCCGTGCGAAATAAGAAATGTGTTAAGTGTCCTAAATTTGCAGATATCAACTTCAAATTTAGCAGAGAAGTAAAAGTCCGTGTCCACATTGAAAGAGTAGAAATTAAGTGCACTCAAATTTTACCAAGTATTTTTTCTTTATTTTAGTAATTTTGGCTTCCAGAAAAAATATGTTTTCCTCCCTAATGGGCAAAATTCTTTACCCAGCAGACGTGAAAGATCCAGTGCAATACCATTTATCTCAAGCATATACAGGGTTTTCAAATTATAGGCAAAAATCTAAAAGACCTACAAAATTGTTCTTTTACTGAGTAACTTATTAACCGCAAATCAAAAATCGTAAAAAATATTTCTAATCAATTCAAACAGTGTCATAGGCCGCATCAAGAGATGCAATTTTTGTATTTGCGGTTTCCGCCTATCCATATTAAAATCGCTATTTCGGTGGCTCAGTCAAGACGCGATGACGTCATTGATTATTAAGGCGCACTGCATGGTTTCAGAAAAAACTTATTTTCTCGAAAACCATTTACTATTTTGGAAAAATTCTTGGACCGGGAAACGTGGAAGAGCTATAACCTCCATTTGCGGATTTTTTTCAATTATGTACATGGTGTGTCAATTATGGGTACAAATAATCTAAAAGACCCTAAAAATTGCCGTTTTTGTGGATAAATTATTAGCCGTAAGTGAAAAACTATAGAAATTTGGTTTAAATAGTCTCGAATATTGTGTCGAGAGAGAGAGAGAGTTTCAGGTTTCGTTTATCATACAGGGTGCGCGAGATCCTTGGAATATTATAATTGTAAATCGTTATTACTTGTACAATTTTTTTATATTTATCAAACTTTGTGGTGACTTTGAAATACAGCGATAAGTAAAAGACGTTTTATACAGGGTATGTACACAATATAATTACATCGATTTTTAGGAAGTTCCATAGTGGTCCGCAGGAGCACGATACAAACCCAATGCGTCCCTCTAGTACAAGGAAACGCCAAGCGACTTCTTTTTTAACATAAAAAGCTGCTTCGCGCTACGCGCTACGAACTTGTCCCGCCCAGCGACGATCTTTCGAATGCAGTTTTGTTTATTTCCTTAAGCTAAACATATAGCAGATACATGTTTATCACCCAGACACAGATTGGTTGAAATATTCACGTAATAAAAACATTCCCAAAACATTTTGTCGGCCGCAATTCTAAATTTTACTCCCAATATCTTTGTAACATACTTTACTCAATTTGAAGTAACTTATACCATTATTGTCAAACTTGTGCAATGTTGACTTGAAAATATTTATTTCTATATATTAATACTTAAACACTTGTACATTCGGTACAAGCAAAACAACATAAATTACAGAATTATAGGATTTGGACCACACTGTAAAAAACAAAAATTTAGTTTTGGGTTAAAAGAAAGCTCGGTGATAAAATTTCACATACACTCCGGTTCTGTCTCCGAAAGGGTGGTAAATTCATGACATTTCATGGCGAAATGGATAATTAGGGTTTTGTGGCAGTCAAAATATCAACTGTATAATTCGAACCGCACTATACAGATTAAATTCCCGTAAGTGTACGCATGTCGGTAATTACTTAATTTTATTCCACGTCGAGCAAACGCATTAAAAAGTTGATTATAATTATGAAGTCGATACAAAATGATAGACTAAGTTCGCGTTGCTATCGGCGGCTTATGAATCCGTAAGAAAATTATTTATATTTGTATATATTTTTTTGTTTTGGATATTATTATATGCGCTTAGTATTCATCCATCCAAAATGACGTAATTTTATATTTCGTAAATAATAGTATAGTATTGTACAGTACATACAAAAGACCAAGGATTTTACTACTTTTAAAAACTATACCATATTTTTACAGATTTGTTTACTATCCAGTTAATATTTTTTAAATTATTGAAATTTAAGTGCACAAAATTTTCTCGCTTTGATTTAATAAGGGATTTTAATCTCAAAGTGCCAACTTCTGCGTTGTGCTTTTAGGCCACTATATATTAAAAATCGGCTAAAAACGTTTTGTTGTGAACAAAGGCCTCAACAGACGAACCTTTATGTCAGAGTTAGTGTATATCATACATCTCTATGCTTGCAAAAATGTACACTACTTCTGCGTACAGACGCGCTTACAAAATCCGCAGTGATTTATTTCGCGCTCGCATACACGAGACATTCTCAGTCATTCTACAAAACAAGAAATTACCGAATCAAACTTAAAACGAACACAGATGTTGGACACTCTGCAAGATTCATGACAAAATCGGCGAAAAGTTTTTTAAAAATTTACTTCAGTTTTATAAAGTCTTGGAACCGACAACA